GGTGCTTGTCAACTAAAATAATTAATAATTCACTTGTTTGACGTAAAGGAAAGATGTGAGTTATTTATATTTATTATTTTTATTAATTTTTTAGCTTATCACAAATAATTTGTTTGTAGTTAGTTAAATATTAAATTTTTTTATTAACAAATTTTTATTTTTTTAAAATTTATTTTCAGAATGTTTTCCAAATTTTTTTCTTTCTTTTATTCAAAACCATTACCAGATGCTCCAAATCATCCTCCTACATCGACAACAGTTCCTTCGTTTGGAACTGCTTCTCCTTTTGGATCAGCTCCTTCCAGTACAACAGCTCCATCCTCTTCATCAATTCCTGCATTCGCATCAGCTCCTTCCTTTTCATCAACTCCTGCATTACCATCAGCTTCTTTCTTTGAATCGGCTCCTTCCTTTTCATCAACTCCTGCATTACCATCAGCTCCTTCATTTACATCAACTTCTTCATTTGCATCAGAGAAGATTCAAAATAATTCAGTGTACCGTAGAAGTCGTAAGGAAAATTATAATGCGAATAGGAAAAATTATAAACCGTACAATTAACACAGGACCACAAATTTTTTTCGGGAAAATATACATTGATAGCACTTCGTGTTCTATACGTATTTTGACGCGCTGAATCGAAATCTTCATATTTGTCAGAAATTTCAGGTTTATTTGTAAGAATTAACCCTTCATTGTTCTCTAAATATGTATTTAATGTTACAAATAGTGCAAGTAAATAAATAAAATATATTCAATATATTAATGACTTACTTCACAGGTTTTAAATACTACGAGATCTGATATTATTATCAGTTCTAATTAAAGCTAAACATTTGGTTCATAGATACAAAAATCTCAAGTATATTTAATTACATAGTAACTTTATATAAATGGAAGTAACCATCTACTTAACGATTTTTTCCATTAATTTATTTAGTAATTTCTAGATATTATACACATTTACAGGTGTCAATTCTTACAAACAAACATGAAATTTTCAACAGATGTAAACAAAATTATCAGTAAAATTTGTCTCTTTATAAACGTTCGAAAATAATGGTAAAAATGTCTCTTTTTTGGAGAAATTTAAATTTATCTCGAAACTGTGACGTGTTGGGGCAAAAATAGACCCAGATTTGGATTCAGCGCGTCAAAATACGTATAGAACACATGGTGCTATCAATGTATATTTTCCCGAAAAAATTTTGTGGTTCTGTGTAATTATTAACATCAATAGAAATGTAAAATATTTCGTAGAAAAATAATTTAACCGTCTCCCATAATCTGCCAGACTCTTCCTACACTTTGGATAATTAATAAAATTTTATAGAAAAAGTAATATTTCCCAAAGAATTATTTTAGCCTTTTCCCATACTCTGATAGACACTTCCCATACTTGAGATAATTAATAAAATTTAATAGTAAAAGAAATATTCCGAAAAGAATTACTGTAGCCTTTTCCCATACTCTGACAGACACTTCCCATACTTTGGATAATTAATAAAATTTGATAGAAACAGAAATTTTTCTACAATAATTACTTTAGCCTTTTCCCATACTCTGACAGACACTTTCCATACATTGGATAATTAATAAAATTTTACAGAAAAAGAAATATTCCGAAAAGAATTACTGTAGCCTTTTCCCATACTCTGACAGACACTTTCCATACTTTGGATAATTAACAAAATTTGATAGAAAAAGAAATATTCCTAAAAGAATTACTGTAACCTTTTTCAATACTCTGACAGACACTTCCCATACTTTGGATACTTAATAAAATTTGATAGAAAAAGAAATATTCTGAAAAGAATTACTGTAGCCTCTTCCCATACTCTGACAGACACTTCCCATACATTGGATAATTAATAAAATTTGTTAGAAAAAGTAATTTTTCTGAAATAATTACTCTAGCCTTTTCCCATGCTCTGACAGACACTTTCCATACTTTGGATACTAAATAAAACTTGATAGAAAAAGAAATATTTCGAAAATAATTGCTCTAGCCTTTTTCCATACTCTGACAGACACTTCCCATACTTTGGATAATTAATAAAATTTGATAGAAAAAGAAATTTTTCTAAAATAATTACTCTAGCCTTTTCCCATACTCTGACAGACACTTCCCATACATTGGATAGTTAATAAAATTTTATAGAAAAAGAAATATTTCCCAAAGAATTATTTTAGCCTTTTCTCATACTCTGATAGACACGTCCCATACTTGGGATAATTAATAAAATTTGATAGAAAAAGAAATATTTCGAAAAGAATTACTGTAGCCTTTTCCCATACTCTGACAGACACTTCCCATACTTTGGATACTTAATAAAATTTGATAGAAAAAGAAATATTTCGAAAATAATTGCTCTAGCCTTTTCCCATACTCTGACAGTCACTTACCATACTTTAGATAATAATTAAAACTTGATAGAGAAAGAAATTTTTCGGAAATAATTACTGTAGCCTTTTCCCATACTCTGACAGACACTTCCCAAACATTGGATAATTAATAAAATTTTATAGAAAAAGTAATATTTCCCAAAGAATTATTTTAGCCTTTTTCCATACTCTGATAGACACTTCCCATACTTGGGATAATTAATAAAATTTAATAGTAAAAGAAATATTCCGAAAAGAATTACTGTAGCCTTTTCCCATACTCTGACAGACACTTCCCATAGTTTGGATAATTAATAAAATTTGATAGAAAAAGAAATATTCCGAAAAGAATTACTCTAGCCTTTTCCCATACTCTGACAGACACTTCCCATACTTTGGATAATTAATAAAACTTGATAGAGAAATAAATTTTCTCAAATAATTACTGTAGCCTTTTCCCATACTCTGACAGACACTTCCCATACTTTGGATAATTAATAATTCGTGCTTTTTCGTGCTTTTCATTTTTCAAGCCGAGCTGTGTAATAAGCTCGAATAGTTTCAAGTACTGGAATTTTTTCGTGTACTTGAAAGTTTCAAGTACTCGAGTTAATTCTAGTACTCGAATTTTCCGAGCACTTGAGGGAATTCGAGTACTTGAATTTTTCCGAGCTCTTGAGTAAATTCGAGTTCTAGAGAAAATTCGTATAATTTTCGCATATATTATATTTAGCAAATAGAAATACACTTTGAAATTAAAGATTTCTTTACTTTATTGATTCAGTAATTCGAATAAATTCGAAATTTTCTACTTATTAATATTTTTTTTAGTAAGTCAAAATCTGGAATCCATTCGAGTACTCGAAAATTTTGAGTACTAAAAAGTTTTTAGTTTAGTTTTTTTTTTAGTTTTTTGGCTCGGCTCGACATTTCGAGTTATTTGCACATCTTTAATAATTATTAATCATAATAACTTTTTTTTCTCTTTAAGTATTTTCAATTAATTTTTTCATTACTTACGAAAAATTGCTTCTCGAATATTATCGGGAACTCCATTCTTATTATGGCCTTGTCCCATGGCGCACATATTTTTTAATGCCTCTTTTCCTACTAATTCGATCAAAAGGGCACGAGCAAGTTCTCTGGGGTTATCCTTAAATTTGTCCATTAGAACTAGTTTCGACTTTTCGACAAAAACTGGCAAACCTTCCACTAATTAAATTTTTTGATCACAGTCAACTTTTTGCGTTTCTGAACTCACTGGAAGATTTGCTTCTTTTCTCAGCATCTCAGTTATTCTTTACATTAGTGTCACCATGTCTGATGCTATGACTTCAAATAAGATGGAAAAATAATTTTAATTTTAATTTTAATTTTAATTTTAATTTTAATTTTAATTTTAATTTTAACTAGCAAACTTTGCGCGCTACGCGCGCATATCATATTTCATATTTCACAATGAAAAACTTATTATGATATGTGTTTTAACCCATTAAAGATATGTTATTCACGTATTCCATATATTTTATTATGGAAAAACATATCACATTAAATAATATGACTTTAATTCTGATGTGAATATGAATCAGAAATCAGAAATTAATTGTTTTAATTTTAGCCTGATGCCTAGTAATAATTATTCATGTTAATTTTTTAAAAAATTTTGATAAAAAAGAAAATTAAATATTTTTAATATTAATTTTTTTGCAAGTTGTTTATTAATGTTTATAGAATACAGAAAAAAATTAGAAAAAATAATAAAAAAATTTTAAAAGTTATAAACTGTTGAATTTCATAACTGAAAAAATTTGTGGTTGAAATGATAAGTCAAAATCTACTTAATCTATTTATTTAAAATTTTGCAGAATTTTTTGTTATAATTAATAATTTCTTTAGGTTTTTTGTTTTAGAACATTACAAAAATGTTCACACTGTCAACCAGTTCGTATTTTCTTTTTTTCAGCCCCCACTTTACCAGTTTATAACTTTAAAAATTTTTTAAGTTTTTTACCTAATTTTTTTCTGTATTCTTTAAATATTAATAATAAACAACTTGCAAAAAACTAAATACTAAAAATTTTGAACTTTTTTTTTTATTCTACTATTACAGTTATTTACGAATTCTCTTAATTGTAAATTTATTCAAAAATACAAATAACTACATTTTGAAATTAATATTTACTTATTATTTTTCCGTAGGAATTAAGATTTTTAAAAAATTTTTGACTCGGAGTGATTGGTTTATTTTTTTTTAATAATTAAATATAACTTAGGTGTAAAATTATTATTTTATTTAATAAAAAATATAAATTGTTACTTTAATTTTTTAGAAATTATTTTTATATAAATTTTTATTAAAATATATTATTTTTAGAATAAATTAGAATAAATTAAAATATTATTATGATTGAATTTAAAAATTATAAAAAATAAGTTTATAATATAATTAATAATATTTTTATTTTTTAATAATAAACAAAAAATTATGCAATAATCTATTGTTTTTATTTGCAATAATTAATATTACACGTTTGATGTTAATTAAAGTTAATGTAGAATAATTGAGGAATCGAATCGGAAAACTAAATAAAATAATTATAGAATGTAAACATTGATTAATTTATGTTGGCGATTTTGAAGCCTAATATGGTTTTCTCCCAAGGCATTCTTTCTTTTCCTTCGATGATTTTAATGTTATCCATTTCATTTACAGCAATGTATGGTAGTACGTCTTCTGAAATGTAAAAAAATTATAATTAATTTTATATATTTATTTTAATTATAGTAATACAAATAATTTCTTTCGAAATAAGTAAAATTGATTATTAAAAAATTTATATTTTTAGATAAATTTTTATTATTTTTAAGAATATTTGTTTAATTTTTTAAAAGATTTAGTTCATTAAATTACAATTTTAATAAAATTTTCCTATACAATTCAATTATTTTCAATACATTTTTTCTTAAGAATTCAATTATTTTCACAAATAATACATTTTTTATGGAAATTCAATTACTTAAAGGAATTTGAATAAAATTTTTCTGTAGAAATTAATTATGTTCTTTCTTCAGAATTTAATTATTTTTAAAAATGTTGATAAAATACTTTATAAATTTGATAAATAATTATAATAAAATCGGTCATAGAATACAAATATAACATTTTTCTACAAATACAATTATTGTCAAAAATGTCTGTAAAGAATCTTCGAAAGAATTCTATTATTTTCGTAAAAAATAAAATTCTTTAAAGCAATTTAATTATTAAAAAAAAATAATTTTTAATTCTTTGTCAGATTTCAATTAGGGTGTTTTCAATTTATTACTAAAATTTAATTATTTTTAAAAAGTTTTTAAAAATTCTGAAATATTCAATTATTTAAAAAAATTTGAATAGAATTCTTCACAAGAAATTAATTATTTTCACAAATAATAATATTTTTTTCTGGAATTCAATTATTTTTATAAAAAGAATTCTTCACAAGAATTAAATTTTTAAAAAAAATTTAAATAAAATTCGATCCAATAATTCAATTATTTTCATAAATAACAAACTTATCGCAAAATTTCAATTACTTTTATAAGTTTTGAATAAAATGATAGAAAATTGCATTTATTCTTACAATTTTTTTTAAATTCTTCGTAAGAATTCAATATTGTTATTAAAACTTTATAATAAAATTCTTTATAAAAATTCAATTTTATTATTTAAAAAAATTTGAATAAAATTCTTCACAAGAAATTAATTATTTTCATAAATAATATTTTTTTCTAGAATTCAATTATTTTTATAAAACGAAAATTCTTTACAAGAATTCAATTCTTTAAAATTTTAAATAAAATTAACGTTCCAATATTTCAATTATTTTCATAAATAACAAACTTATCGCAGAATTTCAATTACTTTTATAAGATTTGAATAAAATGATAGAAAATTGCATTTATTCTTACAATTTTTTTTTAAATTCGTCGTAAGAATTTAATATTGTTATTAAAACTTTTTGATAAAATTCTTCATACAAATTAAATTTTAAAAAACATGCAATTACTGAATAAATTATTTATTTTTGTATTTAAATAATTGAATTCTCGGGAATTTTTTAATAAAAATGGATTAAAAATAAATTTCACGTGAAATTTTAAATTATAATTGAAATATTAAAAACATTCTTAAATTCAAACATTCTTAATTGAATTTTGAAAAGGGTTAAAATTAAAATTTTTGAAAATTTTAATTTTTAGTTACAATATTCTTATAAACACCCTGTTCTAATAATTTCAAAATTTTTGAGAATAAAAATAAAAGATTTTCCATTTTTAAATAACTTTAAATTTTTCAATATTTGCTAAAATGGATTTGCCAAAAATATTTAATTTTGTTTTTCTCTAATTTTTCTCTGATTTCTAGAAAGAATTAAAATTTTTTTTCGATCCAAAAAAATATTCTGATGAATTTTGTTATTTATCAAAATAGTTGTTTGTAGTTTATATTAAGGGCATTTGAACCATTATGACGTCACAGTTTGTTCAAAGCATTTGTTCTAAATACGTGATGTCATAATGGTTCAAATTCCCTTAAGATAAAGTTTAATTCTTTTTTAGAATTACTTAAAAATTTTCAAAAATAATTTATTTCGTACGACGAATTAATGGTTATTATTTATTAAAATAATTTAATTATTGCAACTAATTTTATTATTTTACTTAATTAATTTTTTTTTAATGAAATTTTTTCGTTAAGTTTTAATAAAATTTTTAACAATAAATTTTAGTTTTCGAAGAATTTATTTAAAAATTCTAAATATTAAAAATATTTGAAATTTCTTGATGAACATAATTGATTTTTCTAATTGAAGTTTTATTATTTATTTATAAAAGTAATTTAGTGTTTTATTATAATTTTTAAAAAAATTTTTTGAATAATTAATTTTCTTGATAAATTTAATGAAAATAGTAAATATTGACAATCATTTAATTGCTTAAATTTTTTTAAAATAATTTAAGTTTTGCAAATATTTTATAAAAATTTTTTAAAAGTAATTTAATTTTTCGTGAAAAATTATTCTATTTATAAAGATAATAATTTAATTCTTGACGAGATATTCGTTAAAAATTTTCAAAATAATTTAATTTTGTCAAAAAATTTGATTATTTTTGAAAATAATTGAATTCTTGTAATGAACATTATTATTTATATATATTTTATAAAAATTTTTTAAAAGTAATTTAATTTTTCGTGAAAAATTATTCTATTTATAAAGATAATAATTTAATTCTTGACTAGATATTCGTTAAAAATTTTCAAAATAATTTAATTTTGTCAAAAAATTTGATTACTTTTGAAAATAATTGAATTCTTGTAATGAACATTATTATTTATATATATATATATTAAGGTATTTTATAGAATTTAATTAACTTATAAGAAAATAAAGAGGGGATAAACAATGAGAAATGGGTTTAACAAACTAAGAGAGTGATATTTATCACAAATTGTGATATTTTTACTTACTATAAGATTTAATAAATCCAGTTACTGAAACTGGATCTCCTTTTTCGAAGTTATGTTCTGTTTCTGGAAAATTGTAGATCCTGACATCAATTTTAAATTCGCCGTCGGTAATTGATCCAATTCCGTAATTAACAATTTGGGATTGGTATTCATATTTCAATCGACGAAAATTAGTTTTTATATATCCTTCCATTTCTAAATAATAATAAAAATTAATATGTAATTTTATTTTTTTTTCAAATAATAATTTAAATAATGCTTATTTTACATATATATTTGTATTTAATTAATAGCAGGAATGACAACTAAAAGCAATAAATTGAAACTGAATTTTAACATTAAAAACTGAATCCCAAATATCAAAACTAAAATTTTTAACATTAGAATCTGAAATCTAAATATCAAAATCAAAATATTTTTTGCTTACTGATAATATCTTTTTGAATTTGAATATTATCAATTTTAATTGTCTTGATTTCTTGATTATTTTCTTCTTTCTTGACATTAAATAAGCCAAGAATTGTTATGACAGTATTTGATTTTATTTGAAGTTCGTAGTTGACATTACCCAAATTATAATTCGGATTTTTGTATTCTGCTGTCGCTCCGTCAATATGTAGAATCTAAAAGAAATTTAATTTGATAATTAAATACTTTAAAAACTAAAAAAAAATTTAATGGTCTGTAATGAATTTTGAACAACCATTTAAATTTTCATAAAAAATTTGTTCAATGGTATTTTTACATTGAAAGTATTTTATAATTTTAGGCAAATAAAAAATAAGTATTTAAGTATTTATTTTACAAAAATGTTTGATATTTGAAAGATTTAGTTTGGAAATTGTAAATAAATTAGGTTTTTGAAAAATAGTAATTTTTTGAAGATAAATTTGAATGCTTTATATAATACTTTATATAATATACTATATTTTTAAAAATATATTATTTAAAAAAAAAATTTTTTTTAAATGAATGGAAAGTAATAAAGTATAAAATTATTAAAATTCTTATTTTAAAAAATTATTAATTATTATAACCATATTATTTTTCTTTAAAAATTCTTAAAGGTTTATATAATTTAATTAATTAATTCAAGAATATATATACAGTCAACTCTCGATAAGACAAAGCGCGATAACTCAAATTTCTCGGTAAGTCAAAGTAATTCTTGGGTCCCGTTCATTCCTTATAAGCATTATTAACATTTGATAACTCAAACTTTTCTATAACTCAAAGTTTTTTTGGTCTCCCTTCGAGTTTGTCTTATCGAAAGTTGACTGTATATATATTTTTGAAAAATTAGTTATAATTTTTAGAAATAATTAAATTTCAAAATAGTTTTCAATAATATTATTTAAAGTTTAAAATTGTATAGAAAAAAATAATAAATTTTGAAAGTTTTTTTAAGAAAAAAAATTTTGAATTTATTTATTTTAATTTAGAAATTTTGAAAAAATTTGCTTCTTGAATAATGTTAAAAAATTATAAGAATAAAAAATTGTCTCAATTTCATTAATATAAATCTTATGTTAATGAATATTATTTGCTAAGTATTAAAAGTTATTTTAAATAATATTTAAAAAATTTTAAATAATATTTTTAAAAATTAAATTAAATATAACTTAAAAATATAATCGTATTTTTGAAATGAAATATAATTGGAAAAAAATTTAAAGCGTGATTGTTCGCCTGTAGTTTTGCTTGGTTTTACTATAAGTTTTTAATTTTTTTACCTGGTTAGTTTTAATAATGTTTTCAATTCTCTCGATTTGTTTATTCCAAACGCTGACTTCAACTTTAGTCCCATTGTTGTTATTCAAACTAAAAGAAAAAACTTTTAGTTTATTATTTTGCTCTTCTGATTCATTATCATTTTTTTTTACATCTTTGTCATTTTCTCCTTTTTTCTTAACTACTCTTGTAGCTCGTATAGTGTCCACATAGCCAACAATTTCTCTGTAATAGAAAAAATAATTAATTATTTTATAAAAATAAATGAATTTTAATAAATAGAATTAATAAATAAATTTTTTTTTTAAATTAACGCAATTAAATTTTACACAGAAGAAAACAAATTTTTTTTTTCAGGGACCGTTTCAAAAGTTTAGTTTCGTTTTAATTTATGAGTTGACAATTAAATTAAAAAACTGAGTTTAGTTTTGTGTGGATTCGAAACTAAATTAAAAAAACTAAATTTCAAAATAAAAAAATTGGATTTTTTTAAATGCAAATCGAAAATAAGTGTATGAGAAACTAAATTATTTATTTACAATTAAAAAATAAAAAAAAAATATTTAAAGAATTAATATTATTACTATCATAACCTTAATTAATAATAGATATATAAAGTAGTATATGCAGATTTGAATAGAAAATAAATTTAAAAAAGTGAACCAGGTTTTCATGTATGATAAATTATTTCAAATATTTTTAGTAATTTTTTTATTGCCACGAAATATTAAATTTTTTTGGACTTTAGTTTCGAATCGATATGAAACTTAATTAATTTGGTTAATTTAGTTTTGAGTCGACACGAAACTTAACTAATTTAGTTAATTTAGGATCGAGTCGATATAAAACTAAATTAATTTGATTAATTTAGTTTAATTTTTTTTTTATTTTAATTACATTTTGGAGTTTATGTAGAATTATTTTTTCATGATGATAAATATATTTATATTTTAATTTACAAGTTTTATTTGTGCAGCTATTTAGTGTTAAATAAACAATAAAACTAAAAAAGTGTAATTAAAACAAAAATAATTGTATTTTCTTCTGTGCATAATATAATTGCATATAATTTTTATAAAATCACTACAACCTTAATAATTTTTTTTGTACGGAAATTTTGAAATCAAAATTATAATAATTGATTACATATTAAAATATATAATAATAATAAATAATATAATGAATAAATATAAATTATATGTACAATAAATAAAATTAAATAAAAAATAATTAAAAATTAACTATAATTTAAAATAAAAAATTTATATTTTCTAAGTTAAATGAGAATTGTTTCTCATGATAAATTTTTTAAACTTACATGCTACAACTGCGTAATTCAACTTCTTTCAAAACTTCGGAAGGCGTAAAAGGGATGCTTTCATTTTCGCTTGGCATATCTTTAGGCCTGCAATTATTAAATATAAATGATTAAATTTTTTTATAATATTAAACATATTTCTAAAATAAATTACCCTTTTATTAAATATGATTTATAATATAATAAATATAAATAAATATGTATAATAAATAATAAGATTAAATAAAAAATAATTAAAAATTTAAAATTAATAAAAAATTTATATTTTCTAAGTTAAATGAGAATGGTATCTCATGATAAATATTTAAACTTACTTGCTACAACTGCGTAATTTACCTTCTTCCAAAACTTCGGAAGGCATAAAAGAGATATCTCCATTTTCGCTTGGCGTATCTTGAGGCCTGCAATTATTAAATATAATAAAGTGATTAAAATTTTTTTTTAATATTAAACATATTTCTAAAATAAATTACCCATTTATTAAATGTGATTTATATCTTTAAATAATAAAATCATGTTTCTTACCCATTATCTTCTATTTCAATAAGAATATTTTCATCACTTTCCGTTAAATCACTTTTATTCATTTTTAATTAAGGAATTATTTGATTTATAATAGTTTATAATTCTGTAATTAATTTTCGTCGAACCGAAAGGACGCTGAATTCAATAGATTTAGTGTAAATTTTAAAACAAACGAAGATCAGAAAAAATTGAGTCGCGTAAATTTAAATATTTATATATATATATATATTATACGTAAATGACGTATATAATATTAAGTAATTCAAAAATATTTAAAAAAGTAAAACAATCATTTTCATATATACGTAAATAATGTATATGATTAATTTGAATATTCAAAAAATAAAAATAATCTTTTTTTGAATACATAATTTTGGAAATAATTGTTTCTCTGTGTTATTTAAAAATAGAAAACTTCTTAAAAAAATAAATAAATATTCTATTAATTTTTAAACGTTTTAGAATTTTTAAAAATTATTAAAACCAAAAGATATTACAATAATAAAAATTTCTTACCATTTTATTTTTTTATAAATATTGTTTTGTTATAAAATAAGGCTAAAATGCATAATAGAATAGAAAATTGCTCAATTTTTTTCATGGTTAGAAAATAACATAACCTCAAAATTTATATTTTCTCAAGTCCAATTCACAATTGCTTCGCGAAAGTCTTTGGCGCATGAAATGCAAGAAATAGAAAGTGACACAAATATATATCTCTGTCCTTTTCTGACACATACTTTATCTTGCGCTTAGGCCTTAGTGTGCAATCCCATTATAGCAGAATACATCGACCGAAAACAGAAAATCATGAGTGCGAAAGAGATAGGTAGATATTGTTCTTTTCACTCTCATGATTTTCTGCTTTCGGTTAACGTATTCTGCACACATAAGATCGCACCCTTACGTAATACGTTTTCACCATAATTTTGAAAACCTTTCAAATTAATTAATGGAAATTATTGTAATGTTGACTCTTTATTATGGGGATTCCACACTTCGATCTAAGATGCATATAAAGGCGCACTCACAGCTAGTAGGCAGCAATACAAATTTGAATTTACTGTCTCTTTCACTCTAATTGACTTTCTCTCTTACTCCAATTACTGCCTGCGCAGGCAGGCAGAGCTGTGAGTGCTCCATAAGCGTGATGTTATTTCGTGTCGTTCATATGCATCTTTGCTCGAAGTGTGGATTCCCAATTATCTGAAAGTGTGGATTCCCCACTGTATAAGGCAAAAATAGTCGCTCGTGCAACACGTGCCGCGATGTATCAATGACGTAATCCAAAACAAAAACATATGATGGCAGCCGACCGTCAGTATCACATTAAAGAAAGGCTTTTAATCATTTATTACAATTAATACTTAATTATGTGAGAGCACCCTAAATAGTCAAATAAATGTTTCAAATCCCATTATAGAGTCGACATATCTACTTATAATTTTTTATTCAATGGTGATTGAATATTTTAGTATACAAAAAAAAGAAAGGGAATTATTGGCATATAAAATCAATTAAAGTCGTGTGCTTTTTATTGCTAATTAAAACTAAATCAAAATGTCTAAATCTTTACCCGAGAACGTTTTTGTATCATCGGATGAAATGATAGAAAAAGTGAAAATATTTGATTCAACTGTGTAAGTATATAAACATATTTTTAATAATTTCCATTTAAGTTGTATAAAAAAATTATTTGTACTATAACACAAAGAAAGTGCTCTATATATATTTCTTCAAATTATATCATAAATATAATTTTATTTTACTTTTAATAATTTTCGATTTAAAAATAAAGTATATTTTCATTATTATTATATAAAAAAATATAAAATTTTGTTTTAATATATGAAGAAAATATTAAGAAGCAAAAAATATATTTTTATTATAATGTTAAATAAATAAATTAGTTATATATATATTTATTTATATTTATTATTGTTTTTAGTGAAATGATTGGAGTCGTCGATGTAATTGAAGCGAAACAAGTAGTAGGCAAAAACACAAAATATATGATTTTTAAGTTTTTCATTAAAAACAATGGAGGACATCGAGTTCAAGTGAAAGTATGGAATGATGAAATTCAACGAGTTGAACATTTAATTAAAATGAATATGGTAAGTACAAAATTTTAGAAAAATTATTAGTAAAAAAATATAAACTTAATCTTCGCATTCATCTATTAAAATCTATTTAAAACTTTTTTATGTAATACTACTATTTGGGTACTTTTTTAGATTTCAAACCACTAAAAGCTACTATTTTTGTTGTTTAGAGAATTTCCATTATTTTAAATTTGCTAATATTAGAAATTAAAAAACTATTCTTAAAAATTATAAAAAAAATTCTTTAAAACGATTCAATTAGTTTCCAAATTTTCATAAATTTTCGCAAAATAAATGTTTTTAAATTTAAAATACTTTTGAAGAATAAGTAATCTGATAGTTAAATGGACCCATAATGAAAAATATGGAGCATGTGACCACTAACTAATAATAACATAACCTTAATTTTTAAAACAAAAATTTCTTTTAGTTTCTTCATATTGATGGTGCTTCAGCAAAACCTCAATCAATAGGAAAATTCAACGAGGGAACTGTTCCTTATGAACTCTTAATTCAATCCAATACTGTTATTACCAATTACATGATCCCGAAAAGTGAAGTAGAACGTACGGTAGTAATACCAAAATTCACAGTATTTCAGGAAATTGCCAGTGCATCAACAAACATTATCCGTAAGTTATTAATTATAAATAAATGTTGTGAATTTTAATAATGCACTTTCAATCCTGCAAGATGTGTTAAATAGTCAAAATACAATTTATAACTCGTTCCCGTCTTAATTTATTTTGATTAATTAAAGTGATAGATATATATTTACAAACAATTGATCTCCTACTTTTTATTTATTTTCGATAGGAGTTGGAGGATATTTAAAAACACCTTTTAATAAGGTGATTGACGAAAGGACTAACGAATTCCGTTTCACGTGTGGTTCGATAACTGATGGAATTTATCAACTGGAAATCAGAATAAAATCATTTCAGGAATCAATAAAAATTCAAAAAGGTGAACCAATTGAAGTGCAAGGTGTTATGAATTGGAAAAGTAAGTTTCAATTTTCTTTTAAATTTAAAAAAAAAAATTTCTATTCCTAACAATAATTGAACTTTACCGAATTGAAATTGAATTTATTTGAAAGATTAATTTAATTTTTAAAAACCTATTATGAATTAATTGAATTTTAAATTAAATTTTTAAAAAGTTAAATAATTTTGAACAAATTTTATTTATAAAAAATTAATTAAAACTTTAAAGGAAAATTCTAAGAGTTATTTTAAATAAATTTTTTTCTTTAAATAAATTAATTGAATTCTAAAAAAATTTTATAAAAATGATTAAAATATAATAATTTTTATTAAATAAATAAATTATTATTTTATAAGTACAGTATTAATAATCAATTTTGAGAAAATTTTAGTGAAAAATTTAAAAAGTAAATAATTTAAATCTTGAAAATAATTTTAGAAAGGTTACAATAACAATTTTAAAAAATATTGCATTTCAAAATATTTAAATTGAAAATTTTAATTCCTTTAAGTTATTAATAATAATAATCATTAATAATCATAATTAATGTTTTTTAAAATAAAATTATTGATGTTTCAAATAATTTTACAATTAAAGATTTTTAAAAAATAATAATAAATGTAGGGTAAATGTACTAATTGTCAAGGATGGTTCCTTTTGTTGAGTAAACAAACTTTGAATTTTATTTAAATAGTGTAGGACATTATAAATGAAAAAAGTAATAAATATTTTTTTTATGCGTTATAAATGTGAAAAAAATATATTAATATATTATATACACAAACAAATGAGACATTTTAGACAATATTTTTTGGTTATTACCGCATGGTAACATCGACAAAGGGAACACTCTCGGCAATTGGTACACTTACCCTATTAATTAAAAATATTTCTTGTGTTTTTGTTACTATTACTTAAAGGTCATAGAAAACAATTTATTTATTTGTACTAAAAATCATTTAAAATAAAAAATATATTCTTAGAATTTTATTCTATTATAAATTATTATTATCAAACAATTTTCGACCATTAATTTGAATTATTTTTATTTTTATAGAACCAGTATTTCTGACTGTGGATAGCATGAACTCGATTACTCAATTAAACACTCCAAGAATGACTTTTATTAATCTTTTAAAAGGATCGAAGAAAATAGAAAAAAATATTACAGATAAAAATTAAGGCGTTTATTATTTTATCTGACTTATATCATCAACTGATTATTTTATGATAAAATAATAATTCTTTTATTCGAAAAAAAATTATAATTGCAAACCAAAAATAATAATAGTTTATACTTGTTCAAATAAAATTATTGATGTTTTAAATAATTGTTCAATTAAAGATTTAAAAAATAAATGTTTTAAAAACATTTTCTGTGTATCTATTATTTTTAGAATAAATTTAAATATTGTTAGAATTGAAAGTAAAAATTAAAAAAAAAGTTTTTAATAAATAATAATAATAGTTTTTGAATTTAATAATTCTTTAAAAATAAATACAAAATTTTTAAAAATTTTACAAAAAATAATTAAATCTTTTAAACAATTTTGAAAATTAAAATCTTAATAAATATTATTAAGTTAAGTTATTTTTAACTTTATTAAGTTTTTATTAAGTTATTTTTTATTAAGTTATTTTTTTTTTATAATAATATATAAATAATTCAAATGGAATTTAATACAAACTGAAATTTATTGTATTTATATATTTATAAAATACTTATTATTACAATTTTTTTTATTAAAGTTAATGTTAGAAAAATTGAGGGGTCAAATCGTAGTTCCCTAAATGAGTTAGACTACCAACTGCTGTCAAAAAATTTGAAAAAAAACATTGATTAGTTTATTTTTACGTTTTTATAGCCTAAAATTGTTTTTTGTATAGGCATTTTTGGTTTTCCATTAATGATTTGAATGTTGTCGATTTCATGAACTGCAATGTATGGTAGATTTTCTGGAATATAAAAAAATTATTATTAAATTGAATGTTTTTTAAAATCAAATTTTGTTGTTAAGTTTTAATAGAATTTTTAAGAATAAATTGCAGTTTTCGAAAAATTTATTTAAAATTGTAAATATTAAAAATATTTGAAAATAATTAATTTTCTAAATGAAATTTTATTCTTTATGAAATTAATAATTTAGTGTTTTAGTATAATTTTGTCAAAAATTTTTTTTAATTGAAGGGCTGGATGCTATAATGTGTTACGTGCTATGTTAAGTAAATGACGCGTAACACATAGCATCCAGCCTCTTAATTATTAAATTTTATGAAATAGTAAATATTGACAATCAGTTAATTGCGTAAATTTTTTTTAAAATAATTTAAATTTTGCAAATGATTTTATTAAATTTTTTTGAAAGTAATTTAATTTTTGTTAAAAAATTTTTCTATTTATAAAAATAATTTAATTCTTGACGAGATATTCGTTAAAAATTTTCAAAATAATTTAATTTTGTCAAAAAATTTGATTACTTTTGAAAATAATTGAATTCTTGTAATGAACATTATTATTTATATATATTAAGGTATTTTATAGAATTTAATTAACTTATAAGAAAATAAAGAGGGGATAAACAATGAAAAATGGGTTTAACAAACAAAGAGAGTGATATTTATCACAAATTGTGATATTTTTACTTACTATAAGATTTAATAAATCCAGTTACTGAAACTGGATCTCCTTTTTCGAAGTTATGTTCTGTTTCTGGAAAATTGTAGATCCTGACATCAATTTTAAATTCGCCGTCGGTAATTGATCCAATTCCGTAATTAACAATTTCAGATTGCATGTTATACTTCCTTTGACGAAAATTAGATTTTATATATCCTTCCATTTCTAAATAAAAATAAAGATTGTTAATATGTAATTTTATTTATTATTTTTTTAAATAATATAGTAATTTAAATAATGGTTATTTTACAATATATATAAATATATTTGTATTTAATTAATAGCAGGAATGACAACTAAAAGCAATAAATTGAAACTGAATTTTTAATATTAAAAACCGAAATCTAAATATCAAAATCAAAATTTGTAACATTAGAATCCGAAATCCAAATATCAAAAATTAAAAACCGAAATCTAAATATCAAAATCAAGATTTGTAACATTAGAATCCGAAATCCAAATATCAAAATTAAAATTTTTTTTACTTACTGATAATATCTTTTTGATCTTGAATATTATCCATTTTAATTGTCTGGATTTCTTGATTATTTTCTTCTTTCTTGACATTAAATAAGCCAAGAATTGTTATGACAGTATTTGATTTTATTTGAAGCTCGTAGTTGACATTACCCAAATTATAATTCGGATTTTTATATTCTGCTGTTGCTCCGGCAATATGTAGAATCTAAAAGAAAATTAATTTGTTAATTAATTAATTTAAAAATTAAAAAAAAATAGTAATGAAAATTTTGAATATAATGAATGAATGAATTTTGAAAGATTTGTAGTTCAAATTGTCATAAAAAATTTGTCGTAGGGCAATAGTAAAAAAAATTGTTAAATTTTAGGCAAATAAAGAAAAACAAGTATTTAAATATTTATTTTACAAAAATAAAAGAATGAATATTTAAAAGATTTAATTTGAATATAAATTATGAAAAAGTAGGTTTTAAAAAAATAGTATTTATTTAATAAATAAAAGTAATGAATAGAAAAAATAGTAATTATTTGAATTTACATTTAAATGCTTCATATAATACACTTCAGTTTTAAAAATAAATTATTTTATAAAGATTTTTTTAATTAATTTTTTCGAAAATGAAAAAAAAGTAAAGTATAAAATTATTAAAATACTTATTTTAAAAAATTATTAATTACAAACATAATATTTTTCTTTAAAAATTCTTAAAGGTTTATATAATGTAATTAAAAAATTTCTATTAAAATATTTTAATTTTGGAAGAATTAGTTACAATTTTTAGAAATAATTAATTTGAAAATATTTTTCAATATTTTATTATATAAAGTTTAAAATTTTATGGAAAAAGAATAATAAGATTTAAAAGTTTTAATTAAGAAAAAAAAAAATTTTGAATTTGTTTAATTTCATTTAGAAATTTTGAAAACATTTGTTTCTTGCATAATGTCAAGAAATTTTTAAAATAGATAATTTTTTCAATTTCGTTAATATAAATCTAATGTTAATACATATTATTTGCTTAGTATTAAAAATTATTATTTTAAATAATATTTTAAAAAATTAAATGTAACTCAAAAATATAATCGTACTTTTTGAAATAAAATATAATTGGAAAAAATTTTTTATTCAAAAAATTGAATAAAATTGGGAAAATTTAAAGCGTGATTGTTCGCCTGTAGTTTTATTTGGTTTTACTATAATTTTTTAATTTTTTTACCTGGTTGATTTTAATAATGTTTTCAATTCTCTCGATTTGTTTATTCCAAACGCTGACTTCAACTTTGGCCCCATTGTTGTTATTCAAACAAAAAGAAAAAACTTTTAGTTTATTATTTTGCTCTTCTGATTCAATCTCATTTTTTTTTCCATCTTTGTCAGTTTCTGCTTCTTTCTTGACTAGTCTTGTAGCTCGTATAGTGTCCACATATCCCACAATTTCTCTGTAATACAAAAAATAAATAATTATTTTATAAAAATAAATGAATTTTCATAATTATTAGATTAATAAATAAACGTTTTTAAAAATTTAACGCAATTGTATTTTACACAAAGGAAAATAAACTTTTTTTATTTTCATTACATTTTTGTAGTTTGTGTAGAATTATTCTTTCACGATAATAAATATATTTATTATTTTCATTTTCAAGTTTTATTTCTGCGGCTATTTAGTGTTAAATAAATAATTAAACTAATTAAACTAAAAAAGTGTAATTAAAATAAAAAATTGTGTTCTTTTTGTGTGTAGAATTCAGTTGCATATTATTTTAATTAAATTGCTACAGCCTTAATAATAATTTTTATAAGAAAAATTTGAAAATTAAAATTATATTATAATATAATAATAATTAATAATAATAATAAATAATATAATAAAAATATAAATATGTATAATAAATAAAAGTAAATTAAAAATAATTAAAAAATATTTAAAATAAAAAATTTATATTTTCTAAGTTAAATTAAAATGGCGTTTCATAATAAATTTTTTAAACTTACATGCTACAATTGCGTAATTCAACTTCTTCCAAAACTTCGGAAGGCGTAAAAGAGATATCTCCATTTTCGCTTGGCGTATCTTGAGGCCTGCAATTATTAAATATAAAGTGATTAAAATTTTTTTTTAATATTAAACATATTTCTAAAATAAATTACCCATTTATTGAATGTGATTTATATCTTTAAATAATAAAATCATGTTTCTTACCCATTATCTTCTATTTCAATAAGAATATTTTCATCACTTTCCGTTAAATCACTTTTATTCATTTTTAATTAAGGAATTATTTGATTTATAATAGTTTATAATTCTGTAATTAATTTTCGTCGAACCGAAAGGACGCTGAATTCAATAGATTTAGTGTAAATTTTAAAACAAACGAAGATCAGAAAAAATTGAGTCGCGTAAATTTAAATATTTATATATATATATATATTATACGTAAATGACGTATATAATATTAAGTAATTCAAAAATATTTAAAAAAGTAAAACAATCATTTTCATATATACGTAAATAATGTATATGATTAATTTGAATATTCAAAAAATAAAAATAATCTTTTTTTGAATACATAATTTTGGAAATAATTGTTTCTCTGTGTTATTTAAAAATAGAAAACTTCTTAAAAAAATAAATAAATATTCTATTAATTTTTAAACGTTTTAGAATTTTTAAAAATTATTAAAACCAAAAGATATTACAATAATAAAAATTTCTTACCATTTTATTTTTTTATAAATATTGTTTTGTTATAAAATAAGGCTAAAATGCATAATAGAATAGAAAATTGCTCAATTTTTTTCATGGTTAGAAAATAACATAACCTCAAAATTTATATTTTCTCAAGTCCAATTCACAATTGCTTCGCGAAAGTCTTTGGCGCATGAAATGCAAGAAATAGAAAGTGACACAAATATATATCTCTGTCCTTTTCTGACACATACTTTATCTTGCGCTTAGGCCTTAGTGTGCAATCCCATTATAGCAGAATACATCGACCGAAAACAGAAAATCATGAGTGCGAAAGAGATAGGTAGATATTGTTCTTTTCACTCTCATGATTTTCTGCTTTCGGTTAACGTATTCTGCACACATAAGATCGCACCCTTACGTAATACGTTTTCACCATAATTTTGAAAACCTTTCAAATTAATTAATGGAAATTATTGTAATGTTGACTCTTTATTATGGGGATTCCACACTTCGATCTAAGATGCATATAAAGGCGCACTCACAGCTAGTAGGCAGCAATACAAATTTGAATTTACTGTCTCTTTCACTCTAATTGACTTTCTCTCTTACTCCAATTACTGCCTGCGCAGGCAGGCAGAGCTGTGAGTGCTCCATAAGCGTGATGTTATTTCGTGTCGTTCATATGCATCTTTGCTCGAAGTGTGGATTCCCAATTATCTGAAAGTGTGGATTCCCCACTGTATAAGGCAAAAATAGTCGCTCGTGCAACACGTGCCGCGATGTATCAATGACGTAATCCAAAACAAAAACATATGATGGCAGCCGACCGTCAGTATCACATTAAAGAAAGGCTTTTAATCATTTATTACAATTAATACTTAATTATGTGAGAGCACCCTAAATAGTCAAATAAATGTTTCAAATCCCATTATAGAGTCGACATATCTACTTATAATTTTTTATTCAATGGTGATTGAATATTTTAGTATACAAAAAAAAGAAAGGGAATTATTGGCATATAAAATCAATTAAAGTCGTGTGCTTTTTATTGCTAATTAAAACTAAATCAAAATGTCTAAATCTTTACCCGAGAACGTTTTTGTATCATCGGATGAAATGATAGAAAAAGTGAAAATATTTGATTCAACTGTGTAAGTATATAAACATATTTTTAATAATTTCCATTTAAGTTGTATAAAAAAATTATTTGTACTATAACACAAAGAAAGTGCTCTATATATATTTCTTCAAATTATATCATAAATATAATTTTATTTTACTTTTAATAATTTTCGATTTAAAAATAAAGTATATTTTCATTATTATTATATAAAAAAATATAAAATTTTGTTTTAATATATGAAGAAAATATTAAGAAGCAAAAAATATATTTTTATTATAATGTTAAATAAATAAATTAGTTATATATATATTTATTTATATTTATTATTGTTTTTAGTGAAATGATTGGAGTCGTCGATGTAATTGAAGCGAAACAAGTAGTAGGCAAAAACACAAAATATATGATTTTTAAGTTTTTCATTAAAAACAATGGAGGACATCGAGTTCAAGTGAAAGTATGGAATGATGAAATTCAACGAGTTGAACATTTAATTAAAATGAATATGGTAAGTACAAAATTTTAGAAAAATTATTAGTAAAAAAATATAAACTTAATCTTCGCATTCATCTATTAAAATCTATTTAAAACTTTTTTATGTAATACTACTATTTGGGTACTTTTTTAGATTTCAAACCACTAAAAGCTACTATTTTTGTTGTTTAGAGAATTTCCATTATTTTAAATTTGCTAATATTAGAAATTAAAAAACTATTCTTAAAAATTATAAAAAAAATTCTTTAAAACGATTCAATTAGTTTCCAAATTTTCATAAATTTTCGCAAAATAAATGTTTTTAAATTTAAAATACTTTTGAAGAATAAGTAATCTGATAGTTAAATGGACCCATAATGAAAAATATGGAGCATGTGACCACTAACTAATAATAACATAACCTTAATTTTTAAAACAAAAATTTCTTTTAGTTTCTTCATATTGATGGTGCTTCAGCAAAACCTCAATCAATAGGAAAATTCAACGAGGGAACTGTTCCTTATGAACTCTTAATTCAATCCAATACTGTTATTACCAATTACATGATCCCGAAAAGTGAAGTAGAACGTACGGTAGTAATACCAAAATTCACAGTATTTCAGGAAATTGCCAGTGCATCAACAAACATTATCCGTAAGTTATTAATTATAAATAAATGTTGTGAATTTTAATAATGCACTTTCAATCCTGCAAGATGTGTTAAATAGTCAAAATACAATTTATAACTCGTTCCCGTCTTAATTTATTTTGATTAATTAAAGTGATAGATATATATTTACAAACAATTGATCTCCTACTTTTTATTTATTTTCGATAGGAGTTGGAGGATATTTAAAAACACCTTTTAATAAGGTGATTGACGAAAGGACTAACGAATTCCGTTTCACGTGTGGTTCGATAACTGATGGAATTTATCAACTGGAAATCAGAATAAAATCATTTCAGGAATCAATAAAAATTCAAAAAGGTGAACCAATTGAAGTGCAAGGTGTTATGAATTGGAAAAGTAAGTTTCAATTTTCTTTTAAATTTAAAAAAAAAAATTTCTATTCCTAACAATAATTGAACTTTACCGAATTGAAATTGAATTTATTTGAAAGATTAATTTAATTTTTAAAAACCTATTATGAATTAATTGAATTTTAAATTAAATTTTTAAAAAGTTAAATAATTTTGAACAAATTTTATTTATAAAAAATTAATTAAAACTTTAAAGGAAAATTCTAGGAGTTATTTTAAATAAATTTTTTTCTTTAAATAAATTAATTGAATTCTAAAAAAATTTTATAAAAATGATTAAAATATAATAATTTTTATTAAATAAATAAATTATTATTTTATAAGTACAGTATTAATAATCAATTTTGAGAAAATTTTAGTGAAAAATTTAAAAAGTAAATAATTTAAATCTTGAAAATAATTTTAGAAAGGTTACAATAACAATTTTAAAAAATATTGCATTTCAAAATATTTAAATTGAAAATTTTAATTCCTTTAAGTTATTAATAATAATAATCATTAATAATCATAATTAATGTTTTTTAAAATAAAATTATTGATGTTTCAAATAATTTTACAATTAAAGATTTTTAAAAAATAATAATAAATGTAGGGTAAATGTACCAATTGTCAAGGATGGTTCCTTTTGTTGAGTAAACAAACTTTGAATTTTATTTAAATAGTGTAGGACATTATAAATGAAAAAAGTAATAAATATTTTTTTTATGCGTTATAAATGTGAAAAAAATATATTAATATATTATATACACAAACAAATGAGACATTTTAGACAATATTTTTTGGTTATTACCGCATGGTAACATCGACAAAGGGAACATTCTCGGCAATTGGTACACTTACCCTATTAATTAAAAATATTTCTTGTGTTTTTGTTACTATTACTTAAAGGTCATAGAAAACAATTTATTTATTTGTACTAAAAATCATTTAAAATAAAAAATATATTCTTAGAATTTTATTCTATTATAAATTATTATTATCAAACAATTTTCGACCATTAATTTGAATTATTTTTATTTTTATAGAACCAGTATTTCTGACTGTGGATAGCATGAACTCGATTACTCAATTAAACACTCCAAGAATGACTTTTATTAATCTTTTAAAAGGATCGAAGAAAATGGAAAAAGATATTACAGATAAAAATTAAGGCGTTTATTATTTTATCTGACTTATATCATCAACTGATTATTTTATGATAAAATAATAATTCTTTTATTCGAAAAAAAATTATAATTGCAAACCAAAAATAATAATAGTTTATACTTGTTCAAATAAAATTATTGATGTTTTAAATAATTGTTCAATTAAAGATTTAAAAAATAAATGTTTTAAAAACATTTTCTGTGTATCTATTATTTTTAGAATAAATTAAAATATTGTTAGAATTGAAATTAAAAATTATAAAAATAATAATAGTTTGAATTTAATAATTTTTAAACAATTAATATAAAATTATGCAATAAGGATTGAAATTTTTAAAAATTAAAACTTTGAACTAATTATTATTTTTCTATAATTAAAAATTAAGTGATTGACATATATAAATTAACTCATCAAACAATTTGAAAATTATATTAATATCATGGATATTTTTTGCTTTCTCAGGAAGAAATTTTTTTATTTTAATATAAGAAAAGTTAAATGATTATAAAGATAAATAATTTTTTGAATTAATTATAATATTATTATTAAAAAATAAAACTTGAAATTAGATAGAAGCTGTTCCACATACGGTTGATAGTATGCAACTCATTGAAAAAGATTTGAATTATGTAAGTCATAAAATAATTGAGGGAAGGTTACTTACCTCTTACCTCTTCGTGAATCTCTACTTAAAATTGATTGTCTATTTTTAAAAATTTTCTTAAGTATTAATTATTACCTATAATAATTTTAATAACTAAAATAAATGATAATTTAATTAAATAATATTTTATATATAAATTAACAAAAAATTAAATTTACTATAGATAATAGTTTTTCAAGTATTTATTATTTATATAAAATCTTCATATTATTTCATAACTTTTAAACAATTTTTTTTGATTTATTAAAAATAATTTATTACATTAAAAAAATCAAAATTTGTAATTAATCAATATGAATTAAATAGTATTATTACATTTAAACACTTGTTTAGAAAAATTGATTACAATTCTAATTAATTTTAATTAACTATTCAATACATAGTGAACAATAGTATTTTTCAAACATTTGTGAATCAACAATTGTGAATCAATTCCTTTATTACAATTTTCATTTATATTATTGTAAATAAATAAATAATTATTTTAAAAAATTATTTTAAAAACAAAAGAATCGTTTGATTATTATAGTTAATTCGATGAAATTTTTCGGATAACTTCTGTTTCCAGGAAAATAAAGATATATTCTGAAAAAAATTATTAATTAATATTAAAAAATTTTTTATTGAATTAATAAATAATTAATTAATAATGTGTATGTATTATATTAATAACAAGACTAAATATTACATCGTAATATAATAAAAACTTACATTTTTGATTATCTTATTCTACTCCACTTTCCTTATAATTGTAGTTTAAAAATAACCATCAATTATTAGCTATTCAAATTTTTTAAGATTTCTAAATTACTCTTATTTAATTTAATTTAATAGTAATAATTTTCTTTTCCAAATGTTTTATTAATATCTGATTTTTGCATTAATATAATGCTTCAGCATCTGTAATAAATAAAAATAATTGATTATAAATTATATAATTTTTTAAAAATTATTAATATAATAATAATTCATAATGTGTATGTATTATATTAATAAAAGACTAAATATTACATCTTAATATAATAAAAACTTACATTTTTTATCATCTTATCCTACTCCATTTTTTTATAATTGTAGTTTGAAAATAACCTTTAATTATTAGCTATCCAAATTTTTTAGGATTTCTAAATTACTCTTATTTAATTTAATAGTAATAATTTTCTTTTCCTTTTTTTATAAATATCTGATTTTTGCATTAATATAATGCTTCAGCATCTGTAATAAATAAAAATAATTGATTATAAATAAATTATATAATTTTTTAAAAATTATTTCTAAAATAAATTATTTAGTTTTTAATTAAATATATAAAAATATTACTTACTCAACTCAATATTGGTTGAAATGCTTAATCCACACCTTTTTTTAATTTGACATTTCAAACAATTGTTTGAAACACCAATATCCAAGATAAAGGCATGGTATTATGCCTTTTTTTATTTTTACTTTCATTATTACTTTTATTATTATTAATAATAATAAAAAATATAAATATAAAAATTATATAAATAAAATATTTTGTATTAAAATGTTATATTGTGTATTATTGTTATCACATTATATATTTTATTTTTATAGATAGTAAAAATATTTGTTTAAAAAATATTTATAACTTTTTAATTAATATATAAAACAAAATTTGTAGAAACAAATCATTATGAATACTTACAATTTATTAAACGAACTTAAGGAAATAGTAACATTAATGTTATTTAACAATTGGAGCTAAATGTAAAAATCCCATTAATTATCTTTAATAATTTAATAATATTCATAATAATATCCTTAATATCATTGTTATTTTTTATAATGTTATAATCTTTATCCTCATGCACTAAAAGAAATGGATGGTAAAACTTTGATGTTAAAAAGTAGATTTTACCCAGTATACCATGTTATAAAAATATAGTTATGTTACCCACAACAATCAAAATGTTACTTAGTACAATCTAGATAGCTGTCCGTATTTGTAGCATCAAATATGGTACCTGGTATTATCAAATATAATATCTATATAGTACCCCGCACCATCTATTTCTCTTAATGCAATATCATCATTATCTTTAACATAATAATAATAATAATTCATATCCTTAATATCATCATTATCCTTAATACCATCATTATCCTTAATATCATCATTATCCTTAATATCATCATTATCCTTTATGTAATCTTTATCCTTAATATCATCATTATCCTTTATATAATCTTTATCCTTATTATCTTTAATATAACCAATTATCCTTAATTATATCCATATTCTCAATATCATCATTATCTTCAATATAATTATTATCCTCAATATCATCATTATTTTTAACATAATAATAATTCATATCCTTAATATCATCATTATCCTTTATGTTATCTTTATTCTTAATATCATCATTATTCTTTGTATATAATCTTTATATTTAAAGTTATCTTTAATAAAACCAATAATTATCCTTAATTTTATCCACAATAAGAAAAGTTTCATGTTAGTCATTGCCTATAAGTGTGAGAGAGACATATTTATGCGATTCACATACTTTCTTGTCACTGACATGAAGCTTTTCTTACTGCATGTATATTTTCAATATCATCATTATCTTTAATATAAATATTATTATTATTATCCTCAAAATATATTACAAAATTAAAAAAATTAAAGATTATTTATTAATATCAGAAAAAATTCTATTTAACTATAGAAACTATGTACTATATTATAATAAAAAATAATGCAAATTAATAAGTAAAAATATTGTTTCTTGTTTCTTATTTCTTATTATTATAATCAAAAATTTTTAAATTTGCTATTGAATATTTCGAAAAATTTTATTTTATTTCAGAATTTCATGATAAACAATATTTTTTGTATATAATTTTTTTGGCAATTCTAAATTTTGATACACTGCCGAATTTATAACATGAATTTTTAAATTTTTTTTACATTTGACTCTAGAACAACCAACATACATTTGACCATGACCAAATGATGAAATTGGTAAATATATTCCTACTCTATCAAAAGATTGACCCTGAGATTTATTGATTGTCATTGCATAAGCAAGTCTTATTGGAAACTGTCTTCTTACCATTTTAAAAGGAAATGTTTCTTCTGTAGGAGATAAATCAATACGAGGAATAAAAACTATTTCACCCTTTGATTTACCAGTAATTATTTCTGCACAAATTACATTTTTTAATAAAGATTTTACAACTAATCGAGTTCCATTGCATAGTCCCTGAACCAAATTCATATTCCTTAAGATCATGATTATACATCCTACTTTCAATGATAATTTATGAGGAGGCATACCATCTGGTGTTAAACTATTTAAAAACTCTACTGGAACAATATTATTTAAGTCTTTTGAATCATTATCAATCTGTGAATCAATACTATAATAAACAACTTCTTTGCTTTCTAATTTTGCCAAAATTTGTTCATTCATGTCTAATACTTCAGCATTAGTTAATGAAAGAATGCAGGAAGAATAGACAGACGAATCATTTGGATTTATTGATGATCCATATATTTCATCAATCAAATTCCCATTTGAAATCAAATCTTGTGGAATTTCTAAAACATTATTTTGTCTTTCAAACATACTATTAGGTGTACCATTCCCAACATTTAATAACCATTTTGAAAATTCAATTTCATTAATATTTAATCTAACGTTAGTATGTAAAGATCTACTTTCGAAATATTGCCATAGTTTACTATTTTTCACACATACCTCAACAATATGAGTGCGACTACCGTGAGGAACAATTGGCAAAGTTTGTCTAAAATCTCCTGAGAGTAAAATAACTTTACCTCCAAATGGTTTATTACATTTTGTAATATCTCTTAACATAGATTCCATAGCTTGCAAAGCATATTTTGGTGCCATTGTTATTTCATCCCAAATTATGATTTTAGCACTTCTTAAAAGTTCAGCATGTTTTGACATTCCGCTTATATTACATGTTGAATCTTCGTTTATTGGTATGGGAAATTTAAACATAGAATGTGACGTTCGTCCACCTTTCAAAAGATTAGCAGCTATCCCTGTCCATGCAACGGATACAGCAACCATTTTTTCACATTCAACAGCAGTAATAATTGTATTATGTAAATAACTTTTGCCACTTCCACCAGGCCCATCAAGAAAAATATATCTTTTATTGTAATCATCATTATGTATTGCCATCATGACATCATTAAAAACTTTACGCTGTTCATCATTCAAACTTTTAATAAGAGTTTCAGCCTCCTTTTTAAGTAATTGAAATGCTAACTCATTATTTTCCTTATTTACAATATCACAATCTTTAAGAACTTTTTGATCAATATTTGGCAAACCAAATTGATGTAACGCAAATCCATGAAAACTTAAAATTTCATTAATTATAACTAATGCTTTTTGAAATGATACTTCCTCAGGTAAATTATTATCAAAAATCATATATTCTTTATACTTATTCCATAAATTAATAGCGTTTACAGGCAATCCAAATACACATATATATGCAAATAAACGACAAAGTTCTTTAGGAAATTTTAGACTTACAGCTTCAGACAAACAATTATCCCATTCATTATCATCTATCATCAAATTTCTGGCACGTGCTGCTTCTGTAAAAGTATTATACGTTACACCTTCATATGTTCTTATATCTTCAAATGATTTAGCACCACGTACATAAAGTAATAAAACTCGCAAATAGTACCTTTCTATATCTTTTGGACTAACAAAATACATACGACATATCAATGGTTTAGTAATTCGCTCTCTTATTTTCCAAGTTTTTGATGATTCAACAAAAACATATTTATGTGGTATTTCTGTGTATAAATACTTGCAAGCATCAGAATTTTCTGCATTTAATTTAAACCATGCTGTTAAAGTCGTGTTTTTAAATTTATTAACTGCTTCTTTTTCTAATCCTTCTTTAAAACATACTGACTGCTGATTAGGCAAGTGTATAGCTAATCTATATGTTGCGTGTGATTGTTCGTGCATAGGAAATTCGTGTAATCTATGCATTGCTTCTGGTGGACATACATACCGTGTATTTAAATAATGTTGGATTTCATCATATTGCATTTCCTGATTATCATCCTTATAACCTACTATTGCACAATCATGACCTTTATAACAATATTTAAATAAATATTTGATTCCACCTGTACTACCACATGCTACAACATTAATATGACATGCAAAAGTTTTACTTAAATATGGGTTATATGATACAATCATCGAATTGTCCGCTGTACATTTAATTGACCCATCTTTATTATAAAAAATAATTTGTTTTCCATCATTTCTTCGCTTGTATTCTGGATAATTTTTAGAATGATAATTAGTTTCTACGCAAAATGGCTTTGGATAATGTTTTAAACAAATTTTTTTCTTAGAATCCATGCATGGTGAATTCATATTTTTTTTCCCACAAGGCCCATGTACTTGAAACTGCTTTACAATATTAAAAAGTTCTGGATTTTTTGTTTCGTCTGGAATTTCAGCACATATTATTTGATCTACACTTTCAGCATCACGAATTTTTTCACTTAAAAATAAAACTAAATGCACATGTGGTAATCCACGTTTTTGAAATTCTATTACATAAACAAATGCAATAACTGGTCCAAAAATTTGCTTTTCTTTTATTTCTTTCATTAACTCTTGTACTTTTTTGTGAAAAACTCTAGCTATAATATCAGGTCGATCAGACGCTATTTCTCCATCCAACAAATTTTCTTTAATCTCCAACCATTTTGGATTACAGGTCATTGTAATAAACAAATCTGGTTTTCCAAATTCTTGTACTAATCGCATAGCATCCATAAAAGATTGTTGGTAAGAACGTGGTCCTCCAGTAAATGTTGAAGGTAAAATAATAAGTTTTCCTGGACGAACATTTTCATCTCTCGCTTTATTATTTATATAGTCCATTAATCCACAATACATTTCTGCTCGAAGTTTGTTTTGTTGAAAACGAATATATTTTAAGCGCTCGCCTTCTACTTTTGACCAAACATCAACTATATATTGTTGCGTTAATTTTCCTAATGCTAAACATGGATTAAAAGTTCCCCTGTATGAAAGACGATACATATAAAATTGTAAAGGAGTAACATTTCGGTTGCCCTCAGAATGTTTAATGTTAACAGTCCATCCAGGATCACCTGAAGGAAACATTAAAGGATATGTCATTGGATCAACATTAGGGCTCAGACTAGAAATTGGTATACTTTTAGAATCTTTTGGGTATATACATATATCACGTTCTATAGGAGGTTCACCATCTTCGCTAACAAATATAACAGCTACTTCATTACAAGACGGAACATTGAATGTTTTCTGATTTAATGACCTATCGCGTTTAATCCACATTTCAATATTTCTTACCGGCACATTTAGTAATTTAGCTCGTGCTTCTTCTTCGATTTCTACTTCTCTCATTATTTTAAACGATTTAGCAAATGGACTAACTATTCTAAGTAAATTATCTAAATTAAAAAATAATTCTGGCAAACATTTTTTATTAGACTCATTATTTACCCTGTCTTGCAAAGCTTCTTTAGAGTCAATTATGTACAACTGACCATATTTACGTTTATCATTATCATTTGGATGTAAAGAATATGTAGAATGATATATTTGACCATGTATACGAAAAACATATGGACCAACACCTTTTGGAATTTCTAGTTTAGCACCCATACTGGCAAAAGCTAACGAACTATTATATGAACGAATATTTTCTTTAAAATTTTTACCTTCAGAGCTAAAGTTACATAATAAATTTTTTAGATACAACGGATAAGGATGTAATTCAGTTAATTTAACTTTTCCCTTATGACAACAACTACTAAATTTTTTATCTGATGGCCTTTCACACAAAAAATTTAACGAACCACACGATTCACACTTAACATTCATCAAACCTAAATAATTTTCTGTAACTTCATTTTCTACAAAATCTTCTAAAGGCGTAATTGCAATTTTTTCCTTCAAAATTAATTTTTCCTTTTTAAGTTTTAAATTATTTTCTTGCCTCTGTTTCTTCTCAATTTCTGTTTCTAATGATAATTTTTTCTTTTTACAAGATACATTTTTTTCTAATCTCTCTTTCTTCTTCATTTCTGGTTCCAATAATAATGCATTCTTTTTACATTTCAAATTTAGTTCTTGTCTCTTTTCTTTCTCTATTTCTGTTTCAATTGATAATTTCTTTTTTTTCCAAGTTAAATTTTTTTCTAGTTTTTCTTTCTTACCATTTTCTGTTTCATAAATTCGACGCTTATTATCTTTATCTTTTCTTTGTCGATCGAATTTCTCTTCATTCGTTTCCTTTAGTCTTTCATTTCTTTTTCTCTCTTTGTCTTTTATAGCACGAGATTTTTTCTTCTCAGTCTCTGTTATCATTGCTATGTTTTGAACATTATTTGAAATATTTGATACTACCGGAAATTGAGCCAAACGATTATTTTGAAACATTTCTTTCAAATGAACTCTCATCTTTGTTTGATCATAATGTACAGTATTCGGCATTATATTAAAATACAAAGATGTTGCAAATGCTATTGCAAACAAACCACAATCAGTTCCGTTACCTTGATCTTGAACTTGTGGAAAAAATACATTTGGCTTAAAAGGGTATAGTTTACTTAAATATATTACATGATCTGCATGTAACTTTTTAGCGTTAACACTATCATAAATGAAAAGTTGTTTTCCATCATAATATGTACAAATCCAATGACCAACATCATTCTTTGAATTTACAGGTTTATCAATGCTAAACAGTATCTGTATATGTTTCTGATTTCTATCGATTGGAGTAATCATTTCAGGTGCATGTAAAAGTAGAGTACTTTGCATATTCATTGCTTGATTCGACTGCATTCCTAATAATTCTTGAAATTTGTAAATATGATTATCATTAAGATAACATCCCTCAGTAACTAAAGTTTTCAAATCTTCAGAATTCAAACTAAAAAATTTATTTTTGCTTACCATTTTTTCGCTGATGAATGTCCAAGTGCTAAAAATCTCTTATGTAAACCAAAACGAATTACCTAAAATTGCTGAAAAAAAATTTTTACTTAAAATCATTATAATTTTTAATAATTCAAAATTTATTATTTTAAAAAAATTTTATTTATTTCATCTAGTTGAATACTTTGGTAGTTTTATTTCAAAATCTGACGATTAGTTATCATTTTTAAATAATAATTATTAAACAAAATCAATACATGCATTGGGTGCTCCCTCTATACAAAATGTATGAACTTTGAATTAATTTTTTTAAGCTTTGAAACGTCAAAATTAATGAAATTGGTCTCTTTCTGTAGATAAATACTTAAAAAATAAGTATGCAAAATTTGAAAAAAATCTGACGAAAACCATTTTACACGACTAATACCATGATTTTTTAACCTACAGGTCAAGACTTGACCTGCAGGTATTCTACCCTCAAAACTTAGGTCAATTTTGAGGGCAGTTATTACGTACACGTCAAAAATTGACAAACAATTCCTTTTGTTTTCAAAATTTTTGTAAATTTTAAGAGTAGTTTTGACATATACATCAAAAATTAACAGAGAATTCACTCTGCCCTAAAAAATTAGGCCAATTTTAAAAGCAGTTGTCATCTATAAGTCAAAAATTGACGAGATATAAAATTGACGAGATTGAAATTCTCTCTGACATACTCTTCCTTTTTAATTTAGGTCAATTTTAAGGGCAGTTTTGACTTATAAGTCAAAAAATTGACAAAAAACTCCTTTTCCCTCAAAATGTAGGTCAATTTAAAGAGTAGTTTTGACCTTTTAGAATTTTCAATTTCAATATATTTAGGGGAAAGTGGGGTGGAAGGTTAAATTTTGCATAAATAATTTTTTTAGACAATATAATTCGCTTAGATGCAAATATTTATATATCAAAATATTGCAAGACATCTTGTCCTTTACAACTTTCAATAAAAAAAGTTTCTGATATTTTCGTATCAAATACATGTTTTGTCCTTTTTTGAAAATTTTGTTTGTTTTAACTTTTCGCCCCATGCTGGGGCGAAATGTTAAATTATATTTCTAGCCTACTAAAACTATTTTCTGATTAATATTAAATTATATTTCTAGCCTACTAAAACTATTTGCTGATAGGTGTTAAGTAGTAGATAAGTTAAACTATATGTAAACACAATTAATTTTTAGTTAATAAAAGATCTGTGTTTATTTAACAAAAGCTTTAGAACAGTTATTAATAAAAATATAATAATAAATTAAAAATAAAAAAAAAAATTTTGATTTACTTCACGTGAATGGTTTTGTTTTTTGACAGAGTACTTGCCTAATTAATAAAAATATAATAATAAATTAAAAATAAAAAAAAAATTTTTGGTTTACTTCACGTGAATGGTTTTGTTTTTTGACAGAGTACTTGCCTAATGTCAAATAAATAATTTTTAAACAAATAAAACCAAAAAAACGAAAAATGTAAAATACATTTTTAACAACATGTAAAAATACATTTAACATTGCCCCCCAGGGAGCATTTTTGGTTTTAACACCAAAAAAAAAAATATTAAAAATCTAACTAAAAAAATTTAGCAAATTCCTGTATCTCTTGAGGGTATCCAAATAAGGACATAAAAAAATCAAGATGAGAATAAATTAAAAAAATATACTTAAAAGTTGATATTTTCTTTTACGAAAAAATTTTCAAAAATAGAGTGAAAACAAACTTTAAATATGAACACCACAAAAATGAACAGAATTTCACATAACTCTGGACATTTATTTAGAGCGATAACACCCTTCTATAATTCAAATTGCAATGCTCTATTTCCGTTCGAAAGATAATGAATTTTAACTGTTTTCACAATTTAACCTTTCGCCCCAATCTCACATATTAATATTATTATATTATTAATAATTTAAATTTAATAAAAACAATAATTAATTAATATTTAAACTTTTAAATTATTATTATTATTTTTAATAAAATAATTTTTTAATTTGGGCGAGATGCTAATTGTTGGTTTATAATAAACTTTAATTTAATTTTACAATTATTTAGAGTAGAGGGGGGTAATGTAGTGCAGGGGGTAATGTAGTGCACTGGCTTTACTGACTAAACGAATGAATTGAATTACTTGCCGTTAATATGGTAGGGTTAAGGTATCAAATTATAGTAATGTATATCATTTTGGCTTTATTGTGCTTCTTCTAAAAGAAGTTGTGGCGTCACTTCAAAAACAATAGATTTCGAAACCATATTTCCGTTTTTTTAGTGACTTAAAGAAAATGTAAGGCTCGTTAAAAAAGTATCGGGTAAGTTGTTTTTCCATGTAAAATTTACTTCTGAACACAAATTTAGTATTGTTTTGAAGTTTAATTTTGTTTTTATTGAGATATTGAAGTCAACCTGAAAAAAGGGCTTGGGGGCATTGTAGTGCACGGGGTTGGAGACAATGTAGTGCAATTATACAGAGTACCTCAAATATGTATTATTTAACCATGTTTGCTTTTTGCACATTTTTGTAGTTTTCTTTCAGTTTTATCTAACACAGAAGCAAAGAAATCTCTAGTTTATAGTGGTGCTGTCCACGAGACAAGATGATACCATGCAAAGTCTCGATTTCGTCTCGGTTTTTACATGCAAAGTCTCGTCTCGTGAGTATCACTACTAAGTTATAGTTTTTTGAGTTTCTTATGTTCCTAATATTATATCTAATAAAATAAAATCGTTTACAATATATTCTCTGCTTTTTATTTCACTAATAAAGTAGTGCACTACATTGCCCCACAAATTTTAGAATGTCGAAAAACAGTGCCTTTAGTTTTTTGGATATAGAAAAGCTCCATCTACATCTACAAAAAAATAATGTACACCATAAATGTAGCTAGAAGCATTGTCTTTCTAACGAGTACTTATTGATCAAAATTGGTTGAAAATTGCGACCACAGGAGTCTTCGAAAGAAAAGTGCACTACATTACCCCCTTCTACTCTACCTTGGAAACAAATTCATTAAAAGTTATAATAAGTATATATTCATTAAAAATTTATTATAATAATAAATTATAGTTAAAAATATTAATAATATTACATGCGTGTAATATTAAACAAAAATGAGTATACTAAGGCATTTTTGCAGGCTAATCACAGAAAACGTATTTAAGGAATTTTTGAAAAATTTTAAAAAATCTTTTATTATTATTTTTTTAAACAAATGAAAAAACGTTTTTTCCCTAACTTCTACATTATTATTTGAACTAATAATCAACTCAAAATTAGTACCTACACTAATGTATTTTTACAGGCTGATCACAAAAAATGTAGTTAAGGAATTTTTTTTTTCAATTTAATGTTACATTCGAGTAAGAAAATACATAGCAAAAATTATTTAAATCAAATAAATATTATTAAGGGAGTGTTGTTAGGGTTAGACATAGTTTTGACTTTTCTTCATAGTTTCTTTGTAAGACGAATTTCGTGATTTTGCACATATTGTTGGAAAAATCAACTCAAATGCAATGTTTTTTCTGAAAATTGTAAAACATTTTGACCAAAAGTTTCGGAGTTATAAGCAATTAAAAAAAATGTAGTAATGGTTGAACATGGATAAGAGTTGAGCCACAACAAAAAAAATCAATGAAATATGTAGGTAAATGATTAAAAATTAATTAATTTAAATTTTAATTTATTTAATTTAAATATTTATTAATAATTAAAATTGTTTTTTCAACTTAATATTACATTCAAGTAAGAAATCGCTTGGAAAAAATCAAGAAATTCGAAAAGAAATTCGAAATTTAAATTAATTTTTTTTCCATTTAGTGTAGGAAAAATAGGAAATAAATTTTTCAAATAGGAAATCTCTCAAAAAATTTTATTTGAAAATAATTAAATAAAAAATTATTTAATTTTAATAATTAATTAATTAAAAAATTAATTAATTAAATTATTATTGTTTTTTCATTTTTTGTGACATTCAAGTAAGAAGTCGCTTTGAAAAAATCGAAAAATTCGAAATTTTTAAATTAATAATTTTTTTTCCATTTAGTGTAGGAAAAATAAGAAATAAATAAATAAATTTTTCAAATAGGAAATCGCTCAAAAAATTTTATTTGAATAATTAAATAAAAAACTTTTAATTTTAATTATTAATTAATTAGTGTAGGAAAAATAGGAAATAAATAAATAAATAAATTTTTCGAATAGGAAATCGCTCAAAAAAATTGATAGCAAAAATTATTTGAATCAAATAAATATTTTTTTTGAATAATAATAATTTTTTTAAATAATAATAATTTAATTTATTTATGTAAATATTCGAATAGAAAATCGCTCAAAAAATACAAAACAAAATTATTTGAATGAAATAAGTATTATTTTTAATTATTAATTTTTTTCCATTTAGTGTAGGAAAAATAAGAAATAAATAAATAAATTTTTCAAATAGGAAATCGCTCAAAAAATTTATAAGAAATAATTAAATAAAAAATTATTTATTTTTAATTATTAAATAATTAGTGTAGGAAAAATAGGAAATAAATAAATAAATAAATTTTTCGAATAGGAAATCGCTCAAAAAAATTGATAGCAAAAATTATTTGAATCAAATAAATATTTTTTTTGAATAATAATAATTTTTTTAAATAATAATAATTTAATAATTTATTTATGTAAATAAATTTTTTTCCATTTAGTGTAGGAAAAATAAGAAATAAATAAATAAATTTTTCAATTAGGAAATCGCTCAAAAAATTTATTTGAAATAATTAAATAAAAAATTATTTATTTTTAATTATTAATTAATTAGTGTAGGAAAAATAGGAAATAAATAAATAAATAAATTTTTCGAATAGGAAATCGCTCAAAAAAATTGATAGCAAAAATTATTTGAATCAAATAAATATTTTTTTTGAATAATAATAATTTTTTTTAATAATAATAATTTAATAATTTATTTATGTAAATTTTTTTCC